TGAAGGCATCTGGGTAACCAAATCTTCTGCCGTGCTTATCAGTCCAGTAGGACTTCATTTTTTCCAAACAATTCAAAGTTTGGAATTGACTGGTGAATTATGAAGCGGGCAGGTGTTTTGGCAGTACTTTATATGGTACTTGGAATCAGCCCTGTGAATGGGCTGGCTGCAGGAAAATCAGCTCTCCGTAGGAAGGTTTCTCTCCTCTCAGCACCAATGCAAGCAACCCTTGCTAGGAATTAATTTTTTAAATCTCTTTGGTTGAAATTTGAGCCTTTGGCCTAGAGAAAAGGATAAATATCCACAGATCGTGCGAGCCTGACACACGCAGTAAGCAAGGCAGAAAATCAGCCTTTTCGCTTTTAATATTCAGGTACGTGTAAGTGCTGTCTGAGAATAAACAAAACTCTCTTCCTCCTGCATCTTCCACCCTTTTTTCCCCCCTTTCCCTTTCTCTTTTTTAACGAAATTCTCCTGTTTGAAAAATATTAAGTAATTACCTAACTGCCCCCCAAAAGTCCCCAACATCCCCATCGCACACTTTTGAGTGTGTGCCTTGTACAGAAACAAGGCTGATGATTTATGACTGCTGAATAGGAATTTCATGCTGCAAAGAAATAAAAAGCAAGGCTATGTCAAAGTGGGTGATCTGAAAGAGTCCTGCTGTTGGGAAGAGCAATCCTTGAACTAAAGGCAGTTTCCCTTTCGTGTCTGTTCCCCCGTGTGAGGGTTAAGTGGGCAGCACCCCATAGCTTATCCTTAAACCCCTTTTGAAGAGTGGGTATATATTCAGACATGTCCCTTCTCGTAATTTCTTATTGTTTCTTTTGTATTAGCCTTTTTTACTTGACGTATCTGTTTGCATAAATGCTGCTCTTTTTAACAGCAAGTAAAATTCTTGCCAGAGGAATTGGAGCTGCATTAAATCTGAAAGCAAATGATACAAATTTATTATTATGGCTCTACCAATGTATACGTGTTTTAATACAGTGGCTCAAAAATGACATTCAGTAGGACACAGCCCCAGCTGTCTTCTTTAATTCAGTCTGATGTTAGTTGATATGTCAAGTCATTATTAGGGATCAACACACATCTAGACGGCGACTATAATTAAAATGTCAGCGTAGTAAGGGGCAGTGAAAGCAAAGACAGTTGCTGAAGAGGGTGAACACCCAGTTCCTTCCATGTCGTGTTCTGCAATACAAAAATTTGTGCTTATACAATACTTCTGCCTTTGGGGTTTGGTAGGAAACTTGAAGATATTCCATCTTTTATGTTTAATTATCTTGTATCAATTTATGAAGGGCTCTAGTGTGACAGAATGAATATTTGCTTTATAGAAAAGCTGCCTTGTTAAGATACAGTCTGTCAACAAAGGAATTACTGTAACCTTGAGCTGCGACTTTTCTGAACATCCTGCCTTAACCAGTTGCCAAACAAATGTTTAATGCACATCAGGAACTTTCTTCAGAATCGACGGGGGTCTGCTATTAAAAACAAAAGCAAACAAAAATGTTAAAGCTTGGGGACAGCCAAGATGGGGAGTAAAACTTCTTGTGTTCTCCCAGTTGATCAAAACTTCCCGTGCATATTCCTATACGTAGGTACACACAGAGGGATATAAACAGCATCTATTTTTACATATTTTTCAATCAGGAAAAGAGGACAATTATTTACAAATGAAGCAATATGTTTGCTTGTGGAGCTGTTGATTTTTGTGCCCATAGGAGAGTCCTCTGGTGAAATGATAATAAAGTAGGTTTAAGATGGTATAGGGAAAACCAGCTTTCAGACATGTAATTTCTCCTGTCCCCATCTCCTTTAATTCTCCTTTCCATAGAATCACAGACTCATTAAGGTTGGAAGGGACCTCTAGAGGTCACCTAGTCCAACCCCCCTGCACACGCAGGGTCACCTAGAGCACGTGGCACAGGGCTGCGTCCAAGTGGGTTTGAAGATCTCCAGAGAAGGAGACTCCACAACCTCTCTGGGCAGCCTGTTCCAGTGCTCTGGCACCCTCACTGTTAAAAATTTTTCCTTAAGTTCCTGTGGAACTTTTGATGCTTCAGTTTGTGGCTGTTTCCTCTAGTCCTATCAGTGGCCACCACTGAAAAGAGGCCAGCACCTTCCTCCTCGCTGCCTCCCTTGAGGTACTTCTAGACACTGCTCAGGTGTTCCAGGTTGAACAGGCCGAGCTCCCTCAGCCTCTCCTCATAGGGCAGATGTTCCAGGCCCCCGATCATCCTTGTGGCCCTGCGCTGGACTCTTTCCAGCAGCTCCACATCCCTCTTGTACTGTGGGGCCCAGAACTGGACACAGTACTCCAGATGTGGCCTCACCAGGGCTGAGCAGAGGGGCAGGATCCCCTCCCTCGACCTGCTGGAGACGCTGCTCTTAATGCACCCCAGGATCCCATTGCCCTTCTTGGTCTCCTCAAAGATGTCTACCTCGTTAGCACTGTGCTGCCATTTCCTAATGGGCACAGCGCTTGTGTCAATACCTGCTGCTGTAGAGGAAGTGCCAACATTGGACATGGCAAGTTGATTTTGCCTTAAGATGGAGGCATCCTTCAGAAGGAAGCAAAATAAAGAGGAAAGCAAGTATTGAAATAAATGCTGCCCTCTCTTTTTTTTTAAATCGTTATTATTTTTTTGCTTATATGTATCAGTTTTGGTAGGAGTAGTTCTCCGCCAGTGTGGCTCCCAGATGAGGCTCCCTGTAGGCTTAGTGAGCAAGGGAAGCCAGGGACCATACGCTGGGGACAGAGGAAGAAGAACCTGCTGCTGGTGGCATCTGCCAGCTTAGCTGAGCATCCCTGCAGTGACCAGCATGTAGGCATCTGATGCACAAAGCGATTTTTCTGCTTCCCATATGGTAACTCCAATTCAGTTACTGCTGATGCAAAGGGAGTATTGGGGAAATTGGGCAGGGGAAGCAGAGATATCAGTTGCAGGCAATGGGAGAGCTTGAGCCTAAGGCCAATGCCAGATTGTGTGTGTTGCCTTCCATTCAAAAGGACATATTGCTCTCTAGAAAGCTTATTTCATAAGCAGAAAATCAAATTTTGTTTCTTTATTTTTATACTGTGTGATTGTGTGAAATACATTGTTATATTGGGAATATTATTGTAAGATTCGTATTGGCAACTTGAGGAACATTAGAATCTTTGGTGTAATTTTGAAGACCTTGGAATACATTCAATCCAAATTGTATCCCTCCAAGGTGAAGTCATGCAAATTCAATGCAACATTAAGGGCTTAATACTGAAGGGTGGTCTTACACAGTTTGAATTAAGAACTTGTTCCTCCTATTTCACCTCTTTCTAGTGCTTGTCTTAGAGCTTTCTTCATCTGGTCAGGTTGACTTTCTGCGTTAACCGAGTCCTTGATGAGTAGAATTACCTTAACCCCCAATTAGCCTAGCCCCAGAATCGTTTCAGGGGATGGGAGCTGTGTGGTTGGGTTTGACACAAAGAGGTTCATGGCTCATGATTCTCATAGCCATTGGAATCTGCTAATTTGGTTCAAGTATAGAACAAAACTGTTGGGTTGCATGGGAGTATCTTGTTAGAGACTCGTGTTGATTTGAGAAGTTGCGATGACCAAATGACCACTCGTGTGCAGAAGATGCGACTCTGTGGCTCTAATAAAACTGTGAAATCAATGAGAGGGATGAAAAGAAAGACGCTTTTTGGTAGGCTTGGGTGTGTTGTCTATCATAGAAATCGGTTTCGTGAGCTGAACGCTCCCCTTGAGGTGGAAGCGGAGGCTTTCTCAAAGGGATCATTCAGATGTATGTCCAGAGGTGAGAAATTCGGCGCTGCGTGTGGGCACCACGTGGCAGATGTCCAAACAGCACTCAAAAGAAATGGAATTATTTCAAAAATACAGGCTAAGCGCTAAGTAGGAAGTTGTCCTAAGAAGGTTTTAGGAAAGAGTCTTTCAGGTGCTTCGTGTCTGTGCACGCGTAGCCTTTCGAGCTGCTGCGGATCGGGGGGGACCGGTTCAGCCAAACACAAGTCGCTGCCGCCACCGCTGCGGCTGCGTCACGCTGGGACGTTAGTGCTGGTGCAGCGAGGGGCAAGGGACGTTGCCCCTGTGCCGCAGTTTGTCTGTCATCTGGCCACGTACCCAAGTCCTTAATGTGAATCCAGAGCTCTGCATTTCGCTGTGGACGCAGCAGGGCTTGGAGAACAACTTAAATGTTTTTACAAATAATTTCTCTGACATATTTGATTATATAACTTTTAATATGTAGTGTATGATGCTGAATAATATAAAGATCCTGTAATTATGAAACGCCTCCTGCAGGATGTAATTGTCTTCTCCAATGTCACGAGCCTATTAGTGGGTGTTGCAAGGGCTCAGCTTGTTGCAGTTTGACTCTCTTCAGTATTTCCTTGGGCATTGTTTGGCAAGTCTCTAAAGAATAAACTAAATTACGAAAGTGTTAAAGTTTGCATGTAAAGATGATGGTTGCAGAGGAAGACTCTCTTTTGCTGGGGATGTTCTTGCTGTATCCAAGTGTCTGATCTTTCATGTTTTCCTCTAGAAACTGTTTTTCTTCTCGCTTGAAGCTTGAACAAGTAGGCGTGAAATGAATCTGTTAAAAGTAACAAGTATCTGTTAAAATTCTGTAGCTGCACTATCTGGGAAAGGTGCGATCAGAACCTGAGATGTTGGGCCAGCTTTGCCTGAAAATATTGTTAAAAATATTACTGCAGGTTATTACATTTCATCAAAATGAAACAGTTTCATTATATGATATGTCAGAACTTCCATGAATGTCTAAGATGATGTTTGCTTGCTTAGGGGTTTAAAAAAGAAAAACAAGTAGAAACAGTTAAGTTATCTTAAGAAAAGTAGTTTGAGAGTGCCCTTAGAGTTGGTAAGCTGAAAAATGAATTTTTCCAAGTATTCTTTTGAAGGAAAAAGCCCTCGAAACCAGGGAGCAATAGCAGCAAAACTGTAACCCTGTCAATTTCTCTTTTTCTTTTGCAGACCGTGAGGACCAATCAATTCTCTGCACGTAAGTAAAAACATTACTTACTTATTTTCAATTGAGCATTTTTGGAAGTTTGTTGGGTGTGAGGGTGATCTCTGAGGCTCCTGGGGTCTTCAGCACAGCTACAGCAGTCAGTTCTCAGTATTTAACCTTTGGTAGCTGCCTGTCAAAGTCGAAGAGTGTGTGAAGCGCTATTTAACGCGGGGAGACGTTCCTCTCTCTTAGTGTAATGCACCTCATTGAATGTTTTGGAGAGTATGTGTCCCTTAAGAAATATAGCTTCAAAAAAAAGTCAAAACATTTGAATTAGAAACCCAAACTTTAAAACATGTGAATTTATCTGAAATGCTTTCCTGTAACGATTCAGTTTATAGTGGCTGATGTGGGGTATGAGGGTAGTAAAATAAAACTAGAAACCCTGCTGAGCACCAACATAACATTGGATCTGCTTCAAACAGGAAAGCTCTGACCAAGTTGACACCAGAGCTGCTTTTGCGCCTACGGTTTTGCTTTCTCCTAGATTTGCCCCTTCTGGGAGCAGATGCAACTGAGGGCAGGGGAGCAGGCGGGGAAACAACCCTGTTAGAAGCAGACTGGTGATTCGCCTGGTTCGTCTGCATTACGAAACCAAACCTTGTTTCAGTTCTGCACCTGCCTGCCCTTAGCAGTCCTGGCGATGGTTTGTGCTCAGCTATCTGAGCGAGACGAGGGAAGGAACGGCAGCCTGGCTGTGGTTTTGGACTCGATTGTTCGTGAGCAGTTGACCGTGCTGCATGCCAGCACATGCCAACTGCATTGAGACTGTAGCTGGTGAGGGTGCCTGCTGCCTGAAATAGCTTGATGGTTAGATTAATTGCTGGGAAGAGCCCTGGCTTTAATTTCCTCCTTAACGTGAAGGGATACAAATCTTCATCCCTAGCCTCCTACAAGAGTGCCTTAACTTTTGGTCTATAGGCTAGGCTGAGGAAGGATCCTTTGCCGCTATCCTTTCCTGAGCTATGGAAACCAGGAACACTTGGCTCCTGGGGCCGGGGAGCGCTTGAGCAGGGAGCAAACCGAATTTAGTAGCTAAGCACAGTTTTCCCCCAGATAACACAGGTTGCAGACTGTGGTTCTTAGCAGGGCTTCTATTTTCATGTGGGGACTATTTAATGTTCAATGTACTAAACAGACCTCAAAGCTGGGTCGGATCCCAGGTCAAACTGAACTGCTTTGTTCTTTGTGTGTTTGGGGATGCTTCTATGGTGTGTGCCAGCCTCAGGTGAACTTATTTATTTATTTGTTAAAGCACCTTTGCCTTGTGCCCGACATCTTACTGCTTCACATGGTCACCAGATACCATGAAGGCTGAAATTTCCATGCTGCAGCAGTTAGTGAGCGTCTCATCCATTCATTCAGAAGCTGGGAACGTTCTTTCTCAGTTCTGTTACTGCTTTGCTTGTAGGACCATGATAAGTTTTTGATGCAGTTGGTCCAAATACACAGCTGAGGTCTGATTTATATGTAGCACAGCACATACTTCGACCCAAAATATGTGGAACTTGTGATAGGGTCTGAGTGAGGGACAGTCATCGTTGTTTTCATTTGTTTTTACTTTTCTGTTCTCTTGAGGATAGTGTCAGTAGCATAGTTCCATGCCCTGGCTAGATATGTGGTAAGTTCCTTCTGCAGAAATGAGCTTGCCTCCAGGTTGGGGGTGAGGGATGGGGAGTCTGTGCCATTTCTTAAGTTCTGACCTGAGGAAGATGCAATTGCCTCCAGTACTGAGGTCCAGAAGTTCTGGGGGCTGCTCTGGATGCAATTCCGTGTTAAGATCCTCGGAAACATCTCTTCCCTTGGACATGTAAAAGCTTTGATGACAAAATCTATTGTTACTTCTGAAGTTTCAAAACCTAGTACGAAGAAGCAGTGAGCAGTACAGCTCAGGAGGACTTCAACATTGTCCTGCCTTCTTATCCCAAAATTAAGTGTTGGAGTTACTAACACCATGGCACTGAACAAGTTTTATTACATGTAATTCAGTGTCTTGTTGGTACCAAGGCCAAAGGCTGCACCAAGCTAAATATGAGTGTCAATGAAGCTTAGATCTGAGCAACAAATTCCCAGTCTATGGGTTGTTTGCTACTTTAACTTGCGTTTTGTACCTACACAGCAGCATAAGGAAAGGTCAAAGGCACTTACGATGACTTACAAGTAAGTATGAATCTCTCCAGGGTGTTGTGGGCACATCTGCGGCCTCAGCATTGCAATACGTAAAGGCTTCCTGCCTCCAAACTGGGCTGGGGAGGTCAAAGAACACCCCGTTAAGGTCCTGTCTTTGGAGATGCTTGATGGGTGGCTGCTGGCCTCCGAGGTGGTTCTGTTCTCTTGAAGCTCAATGTGCCTCCACAGCCCAGTGGATCTTGCAAATGGTGCCCAGCCGCCGCGCCATGATGCTGCCTGTGAAGAGACACAGTGGGCATTACTAGACTTTTGCTCAGATTATTACTTTTCTTTTGAAATACATTTTATGATGCTTTCTAGATCCATGTCCAATTTGGGAAAAAGTACCAGTAGGACTTTTCTTCAAAATATATGTGAGGGGAAACATAAGTAATGAATCGTAAAGACAGTTGCCTACTGCACTAAGGTTGTTTTCCCTGTGTGCTGTATGGGAGAGCTGTGTTCTTTTCTCGGATTTGCATTATAATCTCATTAATTGACATCTGGTTGGCTGGGATGTTAAGTGACTTTCATGAACTTGCTTGTGTAGCAGACCCAAAGGAAGTCTAATACATTTTGCTCGAGGGTGGTCAGTGGCTGGGACTCCTCTTTGTTGCATTTCTGCTTCCGTGGTCAAAAGACCAACTAAATGTGTGTGTGTCTGTTTTTTTTTTTTTTTTTTTTGCTACCATGTCACTGGTTTTACAGGTCTTTAGAACAAGACCAGAGTAAATAAGGTTGGGAGTGTGTCTTCATTGTGCTGAAGGTGGTTTCAGGAACTGCTTTGCTAATTCAAACTTCAGACATCTCTCTTTCTTCCCAGAACTCTCATCTCAGAATCTGAATCAGCTGGTTAAGCCTAATATGAAGATTTCCACCTGTGGATGGTTCCCTATAAAGAATGCTTTCTCTTCTATGAGTGATTCTAAATAGGCAAAAAGCAAAGATCCTTTGACATGTGCTGTCAGAAGAGTGCACAGCTGTAGTGTACCTGTCATGACGTGTTGGAGCTCACAATCCTGTGAGGAGGTTGTGGAATCTCCTTTGGAGATCTTCAAAACTCACCTGGATGCCACTTATTCTCTTATCTCTCATTGCCTTGGTTGTCTTGAGGGTAGGTCTATCCCATAGCTTGGTGAAGATCTGCCTGGCTAGAATCTTTGATTTCTCTCCCTAGCTCTTGTTGATTGAGTTTCCCTTTTTTTTCCATCTTCAGCAGCCTTCACAGCACAGGGTCCCATCAGCTCTAAAGTAATGGTACTTGTACACTGTGTTACCAGGTGTGATTTGAACTTGTGAACTCTGTCCTTCTTCACAGCAATGGGGAGTGCTGCTGTCATGGACGTCCTTTACTGTCACACTGAAGGTTTTCCAAGCGCTTAGGTTTGGTTTCAGCTCTTTCTCTTCAAAGGGTCTCTGCACCCTTTCCAAATTCCTTCCTTGATTAAGTTCTAGCTTCACCAAGGATATTCTTGATCTTGGTTGATTCTGATATTCTTACCCTAGCCAGAAAAGTGTGAAGCTTGAATCTGGCCTTGAGACTGTTCCAACATCTTCACTGGTCCAGGACCTTATGAAATCCCATAAAATTACTGTTCAAATAAATATCTGGCTGAGGCATTCAGCTAAGTGCTCTGTGGAAGAGGATCTACCGACAGGTGGTTTTCCAAGCGTGTTTTTATCACATCTTATTGTTTTGAAGATGGTGGGATTACTTGAAGGTTTCCTGCCCAAATTTGGGAAGTTTGGGGTCTAACATCCCCTAAAGAGCAGGCGTCTTGTGTATACCGGTGAGCTGAATTAGTTTAGGTTTAGATTAGGTTTTCTTTCACAAACTTAACCTTAAAACCAGGAGGGGAAGACAAAAGCCCTTCTGCTTTCTCTGGATGTAGCAGAGCGTCATGCCCCTTATCTAAAGTGAAAGGTGAATTTTTTTCAGTTGGATGGTTTATTCTTGGCATGGTAGCCACTGACAGAAGGGTTAGTGAAGGTGCTAGAGCTCCTGTGCTTTGTAGTTGAGTTCAAGTTCTTAAATTTGAACAAACTTCTTTGGCCAGCTACACTTAAATTTTCTTCTAATCATGCCCCCTTGGTTGGAGTACAAAAATAATTGAGGATTTTCTGACCATAAATTTCTAGTTTGTTAAAACAGCAAAAAAATGCCTGTAATTCCAGCAGCTGTGTTGTCCTTACTAACTCTGACGTTATTTTAAGTCCATATTGACCCAGCATCCATAAGAAATCCAAAATAGAGAAGCAGTGCTAATTTTACAGTGTGCCCACGCTGAAATGAAGAAAAACATACATCCATGAGGTGAGGCTTGAAAACTTGGTGGAAGTTCTGCAGGCCCTTTCTGTGTGTCTGTTTTTTCTTTGGAGTACCCGTGGCTGCAGGAGCTCGTGTGGTGAGTTTTCTTGCTTTCCTTCCACTATTACTGCATATTTAATGTTAAATATGAGAGCATGCCGGCTGCTCCAGGCAGATGAGCAAGATGAAGAAACTCCTGTTTTGGTGTAGTAGGAATCTGAGAAATACTGAAATCTCTGCAAGATTTGTTAGCTTTAGCTGCAAGGAGCCTTTGGAAATTCGAAGATGAAAATGTGCTGAGCGGTGCTTTTTTTAAGGTAATGTTCTGAATTTGAGGATCTCGCCGCAAGCGTGCACCGTCCTCAAAGCTGAGGCTGGGGCTGATAAACCAGCCATTCAGCAGATGCTTTCAGCCGTGCAAGGATATCTAATCTGCGCAGCAGGAGTGCTGGGGTGTGCAGGGAATAGAGGCTGTTTATGAAAGGACAACAGCAGCAAATACCAAGCATTCTTCTATACAACCTCTGGCTGGGCTCCAGCTTCCAACATTCCCTCGACAACTGCTGGGAGAAGACGTGAAGCCTCTAAAGCGAAATGAAGGAGCTGTAAAGCAGCCTCGTAAATAGTAAATCCAATTAATGACTTTCGGTGCTAGCCCAAACTATCAGTTATACTACTTTGCCGAAAATTAGGTGAGTAATTAAGACTTCCTTTTAATTACAGGTCTGGAGTCTAAATATTGGGAACTTGTTTACAATTGGCAGAAGACCTTCCCAGTTGCGCCTGGGAATAACTCTCTTCTGTTCTTCGGAGCCAGTCTTGTGAGAAGGACAAGAGACTATTGTTGGGCTGTTTTGTTGCAGTTACTTTCTCCTCCCAACAGTCTGAGCCCATGCTCTCATATTTTACTTCCTGATGTGAGGGACCCCTTTGTATGAAACAAGGCGTTCCTGGGCACGAGGTCTCGGAGTGGCAGGTCAGGTTTCCTGGCTCTTGTGGAATTGCTCCTCGAGGAGGGTTTCCCGAGGGCAGGTGCTGCTGCTCTTCCTTCTGCAGTATGTTTGGCTGCTAGAAGGTTTCTGCTTCCAGATAACCTCCTCATTCCCACGGTTGCTGCTCATCAGGAGGGAGAAAAATAAGTTGACTGAAATCTCGAGGGCAGAGGGAAGGTTCCTTTGCTGGATCCAGGCTTCCAGCGTGGGGAATGTTGGCCTGGGTCATTGGCTTATTGGTATACTAGATCCTGGAAAGATGATCCGCAGTGGGGTGGACAAGGCTAGCTTCATCTTGAAGAACTAGGGTGACCACCCCAGTACATTGCTTACCATCAGGGTAACTGTATGCTTGTAGCAGTGGTTCTGTGCAAAAAAAAAAACCCTTTTATTTGCATTTAGAAGTTTTCTTTGTGGCTTTGCACTCCCCTGCCTTGTGTGGTCACAACCCTATGTTTTGCAGGCCCTGAATAGTGGGGCTTCAGCAAGCGGCTTGGAGCTCCGGTGCCACTCCTGAATGTCCGAAATGCATTTGCCGCTTCAGGAGCTAAGTACTCTATTGAAAATGACACTCTAGCTTTACATCCAGGTTGTTTACAGTGCTGCTTTGCTAGCTAAGGATTTCCTATTTTAAACATGCGTTCAGAGTGTACTTAAATCCAAAGCAGCAGCTTTTACTGCTTGAGGGAAAAGTGCTTTAATTCTGGATATTGCATAAATTTGCAGGTAATTCTCCGCCTTTCTTTGACCTGTCTTTGTAACATGGTTTGCAAGAGATGGATCCTTCAACTGAAATGAAATAACTTTCTTGCATCTGGCTTAAAGCCATTCCTCAAGATTTTTTGCCTGCTTGGAAGATGCGCCGCGATGGGCTGTTTGCAGAGCCCGTAGCTGGGGTTGCAACAGGGTTTGAATTCAGTCTCTTGGAGCTTTGTGTCTGGTAGTGGCACTGAGACTGAAATAGAGGTGAAATTGTGACCCTACTGACTGAAGTCAGGCTAGGATCCCAGCCAAGGGTTTCGGTTGTTTAATTGATGGTAACACTTTATTTGAGTTGTATTGAAACAAGGTTTTTTAAGAAAGTTAATCTTTAGCTTCATGATACTACGTGCAGTATTTCTGAAAAGAAAGCAGTGTTACTAAAAGCTTACCTTTTTTGGGCAGTTTGATAGTGGTAGAAGATTAATTTATTTTTATAATTCATGGGTTTGCTCTCCTGGAAAAGAGCAAAAGTATGCACATGTCCTTGTTTCCATAAATGAAAAGGACTTCATCTTAAATCTTCTGGTTCTTTTAAGTATATGGCAGGGAGCTATCTAGCACTGCATCCTGCAGGAAATGTTTGGCATACTTGTAAGCTCCGAGGAGAGGAGAACTAGGACGATATTGTCCATTTGTATTGCTTTTTGAATGAGAATTTGCATAAAGATCTTCTCTTAAGAAAAATCACTATCAGATTTAAGAGGTTTTCTGCCCAAGGAATGTGCTGCAAGCTTTTGACCTTCCTGTGCTTTATGCAGCTTTGCTGCTGTGCGTTCCACCAAAGCCTGCAGATTAGGGGGCTCTTCTGGAGCTGCGTGCTTTCCTGCAGAAAGTCAACATCTGGACTCGATTTGTAGTATTTTTATTTTGTCGGAAGAGGAGTTTTTGCCCTTAAAACTTAACAAAACTTTTTTTTTTCTTGTAATTTGATCAAAAAGATTATTTACTTTGTTTTCAAGGTGCAACTAATGATGTCTCGTCGAGCTTCGATGACAATAAGAACAAATTGTTCTGTTTTGTAGCTGTGCGTTTTGGTGTTTTTATTCTCCTCCCCCTTAACCTGGTGGTGGAATTTTAGTATTAGGCAGGTTTTAAAATGCATTTAGAAACAGGCAAGCCTTTTGCGGGGGAGAAAAGAGACAAACTGAGAAACAGCAATTAGCATCTGAGATCTGTTCTGTACTTAACAATCTTTGCAGTTGTTTATTATAGGCTTTTAAGTGTTGTCTCTCTACCAGGTAGAGAAATTTGACTTTTCATTAAGTCTTAGAAAGCTGCAGCGATCCCAAAGCACACACTGTTTCTGTATTGCACACTGATGATCCCACTGGTCTCTGCAAAATGCAAACCCAGGTATCCATGTGGAAATTCTTAAGGTCATCTTTTCCTCAGCCAACTTTTTAGGTAATATCTTTCTAAAATTTTGTGTGTGTGTGTGTGTGTGTGTGTGCAGACTAAGTGGCTAGTGTAGTCAATAGGTTTCAAAGCACCTTGCTTCCATATTATCCTAAAAGTTATATCTATTGAAGTGATTTCTAATCTCTTGCATACTATGTATTTTCAAATGATGATTGCTTTATGAGGGGAAAAAAAAAGAATTAGTCCTGGACAGGATGGTGCAGTCAATGCACTCCCCCAGTACCACTGGGGGCCTTGAATAATTCTCTGACATTGCAGACCATAGTTTGGTAATTGAGGCCATGGCAAGTATCCCAAAGCTCGTCTGCAGAACCGTTTGCTTTCCTGTTCTCAATTAAAACTTTTCTTCCTTGGAGCCTAGGGGCTAATAGCATTCTGTCAGGCCAAACAGATCAGGCTTTTCATCTGCAGCGTGTAACCGGCTCTCATGGGCTCTTGTTAATCTTCCGTAATGAATTTGCTAAGCTACTATGAATGAGCTTTTTCAGTCCACGTCGCTTCTTGTTCATGTGTGTAGATAGATGCACACGTATGCCTCTGTTCTCTCTGCTAGTGCAGTTTTTCTTTATGATTTCAATGATTTTAGAGCGTTGGAAGGTAAGAAAAGGCAGATTTATTTTAAGATTCCATTTTCCTTGAAAATCTGGGTTAATATCCTTATATATGCAAAGTTATCACTGCAGCTTCTAAACTGTCCCATTTTTGCGAATGTTAAGTGTAGCATGGGGATGGGGGTGTTTGTAAGCTATCTGTCTGATCAAGAAGTGTGGATTTGGAGGCACTTAGTACCTAAGCAAATACAGGATAAATGCAAAACTGGGATATGCACTGTAGCAGAGGAGGGTATTTATGAAGACTCCAAAGGAATACAAGGCTGATGAATGTATACTTGAGGTACTGGCATAATTTTCCAGATAAGATATTTATAATGGAAATTTAAGGAGGACTTACCGTAAAGTAACAGATAGTTTCCAAACCTTAACTTTTGAACAACTGTCCAATGGTGGAAGTATTTTCACCCTTTCCCTGCAATTCAAGGTAACAAAATCCTTTCCAGTTTTGTATACCTCATAGTGCTAGTGATAGTCCCCATTTCTGTTTCACTTGGAAGGGGATTTTTTTTTTTGCAGTAATTACTGCCATTAAATCATGGATAAGTTGAACTTGGGAATCTCTTTGAAATGTGGAATTATCCCATTTTAACCTATATTAAAACTGTAGCCTCATTTCTGACTGCGGTGTTGTGACCTTGGACTGATTTCTTGCCTGTATTGTATTCTTACTTGGACTGAGTCCCTGACTAAGTGTTTAGAGTCTCTTATAGGTTAATCTTGCAATAAATGTAATTTCTAAGACAGAGACAGATGCAAAACAGAATATGAATTATGCATGTACCACCGTTACTGGTCTGTATACTGTGCTGCTTTGCAGTAATAGATCTGATTTTCTTAAAACGCATGGAAGTAGCCCTGTCGTCATCCATATGTTTGAGAGGAGCAGCATAAGGATCTGTTTAACATGTGTTTTACTGTGCTTTAGAACTCACTCCTAAATAAATGGAATGTCCATCATGTAGTTCTTGTAACTGGATCCAAGAATATGAAATCTGTTAAAGTAATACTACAGATATATCTGCACTCTGAACAAATCTGTACCTGGCCTTGATCATGAGGCCGGTTCTCATTACTGAAAGTAGCATAAGAATTTGGGCATGTAGTCAAAAGCTTTTAATCCAACTGATGTTGCATATTGCATCAATAGTTAAATTCTAAGGAGAACATCTGGATGAGGAAAATATTTTAAACAAATACCTTTTAGTTCTGTGCAATGCTAATGCTTTTGGTTTCAGATGGTCAGCGGAGTTCTGTCTGTTTAGTCTAAGCTCTCACTGGGATGAAATGAGGTAGCTGTAAAGAAATGGCTGATATGTTGATGAAAATTAATTTTGAGGAAAATGTCTGAAATGTTTTACAGAGGTGAATCTGGTGCTGGGAAGACAGAAAACACTAAGAAGGTTATCCAGTACCTTGCTCATGTTGCTTCCTCCCATAAGGGAAGAAAGGACCATAATATTCCTGTAAGTTGGGATTTTTTTCTTTTCTTTCTTTCCCTCTTTCTTTTTTTTTTTTGGAAAGTAATCTCCTTGCTAAAACAAAAAAAAAAAAAGAAAAATAAAGTCGCTGTTTTTAAACTTTTTCTATTGAAGATCAGCTGTAATGTTATTCCTGGAATCTGGCTCAACTATTGTTTCTTTTGCAGTGACTGAAATGAGTAATTGCATCAAATATTCCGGATAATGTGCGCTAATAACCTCCTCTGTGAAACGAAAAATTTTATGGAAAATCTTAAACTAGAAAAAGTATCAAAACTTTTTGAAGCCGTAGACCTCAGTGTGGTCTTTGTCCATGCGCGCTGTGGCCTGAGTGGGGTGCAGGCTGTCCGTGTGCATCACTTGCGGGTCTGAAATGAAGTTTTTGGGTGGAGAGTGTGTAGCTATGAAGAGTGTCATAATCCATTGAACCTGGTTTTCTGTACTTTTTGATTTGTGAATATTCCTGGCTGTACCACTGCAGTCTCAAACAAATAGCATCTTTTTTGATCCCGTTGCATGTTAAATTACCTGCAGGTTTTGGAGGGAGAAGAGATGATGTTGCGATGCTCAAGATGAGTTTTGAAAATTTTTAAGGACAGATTTTGCTATTTCTCCAGGAAGTTGTTCCATGCATAACCCCTTGAAGTCCTATTATTGGTTGTTCTAAAAATACTGAATATTTCTTTGGCCTTCCCCATGCTGTGCTTTCATGAATGCTTATGGCAGCATGAGCACTTTAAGCCAGTGCAGTTGACTGAAGAAACACCCATTCTTGAGCTTTGTCAGCGTAAGAATTTCTGTGGCCACTTGCTGGGCTGGGAATATGATTAAAACTAGTCATTTAGAAAAGTCAGTCTATTTTTTTTTCTTGAACAAGCTTCCTCTGTTCTGCTTATCATGTGTCTACATGACTAGTATGAGGGAGGAGATGGAAGAAGGGGACAGTGGGGGTGGAAAAAGTTCAGGAAGATGAGTTGGATGATTAAAAGTGAGTTGTCCTTAATGCCAAGTTAACTTACTCCATTTAAGTCATTGATGGAACTACTTTTTCATTCTCTTCTCACCACAGTAACCAAATAATCGGTAGTGGTGGTAATCTCAGAAAGGTTTTCAAGATGGTTGTAGCCATCTGCTTGACCAACTATTAATGACAGTTATGGCAAACTGGAAAAGTTTCTGTTCTTTGCAAAGCACGGCTCACCTTCAAGGGAAGATTGGGATGGTGTCCTGAATAAAAGATGGATACTTTGGTTCATGCCCTTCATTCACTGCACTGCTATAATCGTCACTAGATTAAGGGAATGTTTATGAAAAATGCAGGATATTTCTGCAGCCAAAGTTGTTTTGAGAATAAATCAAGTCTTCTTTAAAATTCATCTTTGCAAACAAAGAATGTTCTACCTACCTACCTAACACTCAGAAGTTAAGAAGTGTCAGAGTTGGGGTTATGAAGAGCATCATGTAGGAGAGGGAAGATGCTCCTCCCTTGGAAATCGTCATTGTCATGTTCAGCTTTCAGCTACTTTGTCCGTGAGACTCTTCTTGCTCAACAATCCTTCTCTGTCTCTCCTCATACTAGTGCGTAGCTGCATTCATGCCACTGGGTCCTGAGCGCTCCTTGGCATGTGGCACTTCTGCAGAAGTCCTGTGGGAAAAGGGCATTGACAGATTGTAGCCACACAGAGACGACCACACACTGTCTTATTTTCTGTATGATTTGAAAGACCCTTAAAGCTATTGCCTTGGAAACGGCACTAGGAAGTGTCAGTAGGTGGTAATGGTTTAAAATAAAAACATGCAGACAAGAAGAGGAGCATTATTAATGATGGGACTTGGCCGAACTAGGTGGGACTAATGTCTCTCCAGCTTGGGCCAGAGACAAGGCTTTCCAAAGCCACATAAAGCAGGGGAGGGAGATGTACCCACACATAGTTAAAAGCATTGGTTTATCTGAAGATCTAAGGTGGGATAAAAGTGAGACTAAAGCCTTGCCAGCACTGGTGTGTTTACAGCTTTGAAAACTTCAGCTTCACGTTCAACAAATTTGAGCTTTAAAAAAGAAATGGAGAAAAGGGAGGGGGAGGCTATAGCAAATTTTGCAAGTAAATGAGAACAATCTCTACACAAGTGTGCCATGCCCGTCGCTCACTGGCGTGGACCACCCTCACCAGACGTGGACCTGCTGCAGCTCGGGGAGCTTCTGTCAGGGCTCCCTGTGCTGCTGCCCGTTGCTCAGGTTGCCTCTCCCATGCTCCGAGGCTGCACGTGGCGTGACCCGCGGCCTTGTGCTGGCTGAGGAAGCGTTGGAGAACAAAAACGGATGTTCAGGAGAAGCAGGGAGCAGGAGAACAAGGGCAGGTTGCTGCTAAATGTGGGGAGGAGGCTGGTGTCAGAGTCCGAGAGGACTTGGGGCAAATCAAGCAAGTGGGTGCAGAAGACCAGGAGGGTTATTGCAGAATGCTTTTAGCTTAGCACCTAATCAGGCTCCTGCGTGATGTGGTAATGAGGGAAGAGAATGGAATCACTGTGTCCACAGTGTCCGTGTCACTGAGCTGCCTTAACAGGATTACGTAGCGAGCCTCAATTCCGACTCTTGTTCTGATTTATTTTACGAATTGAATGTTTTCAGATAGACAAGAAGTCCTTGAAAGATAAAGAAATAATTAAAAGAAAATTCACATACATAATTTTCTATCAAGGAAAAAAGTGTCACTAATTCCTTACCTGAGGACTGCCGTGAACTTTCATGTTTTGCAGGTTAAATGAGATTGAGGGATTGTCTTAACTGCAGTTCTAGACTGGATATACCTGGGCCGTATTCATGGTCAAATATAGGAAACTGGAAGATATTTACAGACATGGTAGCACATAAAATGAAAACCAGCCAGCCAAACACAAAAGCCCCCCAAATCCCCAACTTGTTCAAACTAAAATCTGGTTCTTTTGATGGTGGCATTTTAACCTTCAAAAATCACTACTGGCACTTTAATGTTGATGACTGCTTCCAGCATGTGACTACATATGTATTTGTAGCTGAAATGCTAAATTGTCGAATATAAGTAACAGGGAGGAGTGATTAGCTTGTACTGAACCATGTAACTTTGGTTTTGCCAAGAAGATATGATTCAGCTGTGCTAAATTCAAATTATTTTGCTTAATGAGCAAACCTTTGCCAGCTGCTTTAAAGATCTGTGTCAAAATCCATAATCCCTCACTGTAAAACAGTGTTAGTGTTTTAAAATAATAGACATGAACATAGCAAGCCTGCATCTAGCTTGGTGTGAAAGTCTCTTGGTACATGTGTTTTACAGTATATTCTCCTTAGGCTTTATGATCTGAAGCTCAGAATTAGGAAAAATTGCAGTCTGGGTGAAGAATTTAATAATGGAATTGAAACTTAAGTGTTTCTGCAGACATTGTGCAAAGCTGATTTTTCTTTTTTTTTTAACTTGATACTCATATTTGATTTTTTTCCCCCCTTCTTCCTGGTAGAATTTGAATGTCTTCCAGTTTCTTAAGACTTTATTGCTTTGCATCTGGAAGATCACTTTTACGGAATAAAACATTTATCTTGAGGTTGTAGCTGTTGTTTTGCTAAGCACCTGAAATGTACAGTATAGAAAGAAAGCCTTAAACTCCTTAAGAATTTCTTTCCTTAGGTTCTTTCATAACCTTTTAGATTTTTGAGGAATACTGACCCTTCTAATGACTAAGGCTGTGGCAAAAAAAAAAAAAAAGTATTAAATGATAGTTCAATGAATATATACATATAAATAGATTTGGTTTTTAATTGCTTGTCAAAACTATGGAAAACAGTGCACAACTAATTCTCCCATTGCCTTGGCAAAGCTTTGCAAAGCAGTGCACAACTGATCCCACCCTTGCCCTTTTCCCTCCCTACTCAGGTCCGTCTATCATCCTTTCTTTCATCTGGAATTAGTTCTGTGCCTAAACACAGGTTTTAGCCTCTTGTGCATGCAATGACAAGCGAATAACCTTCTAGAATTGCCTAAAATTGTTTCTGTGGAGTAAGTATGTGGTTGCAGTGAAGCTGCTCACGTTAACAAGCGGGGATGGAGCTGCTGTGCTTGCTGACTAACACGTGCGTTTGTTTGTTTGCAACGAACAGCCCGAATCACCCAAACCCGTGAAGCACCAGGCAAGTGGTTTTCCTTATGCTTCTAACGTTATATAGGTGAACTTACATATTTTTTTCCTATTTTCCGACAGTTTGTCTGTATTTATAGCATGTGGGAAAGTTTGTACAGGTATAAAGCTAACAAATTCAGTAAAGTTTAACCAGCTTTGGTGAAGAGGGTGGACTGAGGAGCAGACTGCATGATCCTTCATGCTGCAAAGCACTTGCACGTTCCAGTGCTGTTCCCCTGTCTTTCTTGCTAGTTAATGTGCTGCTGAGAGCGGGCCCAGCATGTTGTTAGTATTAAACAAAGTATAAAGAAATGATGCAGATTAAGGGGAAACCACCATGTTCTGTGCAACATATCGTTTTGCCTGGCTGTTCTTGTAGCTGCTCAGACCACCTTAAGTTAAAACAACCAGTCATCTGAAATCTGTAGTTTCCTGACATTTTTGAAGATAAACGGACTAAGCAACATGGGATCTGTTCAATTTTGCCCCCCCGGGTTGATATTTTCTGATTTGTTCTTGGGCACGAGCTCTTAAAGACAAAGTCTCAAGCATACCATAGGATGTAGCTTAAGTCTGGTAACTTAAGAAGCTGCTGCAAGGCATTTGTGCCAATTGGGTCCATTTTCTGTGAACTTAGACACGATGCAAATGAACTTGTGAGAGGGACGTTTTAAGACTTGTTTTTTGGTGGCAAAGAGCAGTCGTGGGCAGTTGTGATGCTCCAGTAACTCAACAAACCTCCGTAACCAAACCATGTGTCTGAGCCCGTGATCTCGTTTTCAGAATTTGCAGACGTTCTTAATGTCTGACCTAATCTCCCCCCCTCCCTGCAAACCACCGTCAATTCTGAGGGTTCTTTTAACTGAAATAGATTGACCGATGCCTAGTTTAACCCTCTTTTTGCTTAGAATTATGGTGCCAAGGTTGAACGCTTTAAATGTGTTGGTAGAAGCGTGCTCACGCAGAACTGTTGTTATTGCACCAACCATAATCATTAACATTTGTCTCAATGTCATTCCGAACTACAGAGCGGATCCCTGTTGCATGTGAGTAGCATGTGCTTCCCTGCTTGCTCACACAGACCCACGCCACTGGGATGCTCGTTTTCCTGAAACTGGGACAATAATCTGTCCTCTCCGTGTGGCCCTGCATGACGTAGTGCATGACTTCACTTTTTCCACAATGTTTAGACACTGCTTTTTCCAAGTTCTCCTTAGATACCTATGTAGGAGGTATGTCCATAGGCCAGATTTACTCTCTTTCCAAAATATTTCTGGAAAGGGTAATTGTTTTGAATATAAACTAACCTACCTAAAATCGAAAATTAAATCCATATTAATACTTACACCATGCTTTTTTTTGATCAGAAGCTGTTTTATGTTCTAGGAGGTTTGCTGTCTCAGCAATAATGGCAAAGTCTCCTTGCGCAGGAGAAGCGGAGAGGCCTGCTAGGCTGCAATTCTCTTTTCAGAATAGCTAGAATGGAAAATGTAGGCAGTGAAATGCTCACTGTGCTCAGCCTATATAATGTGGCTTATTCCAAACTGTGCAGAGCAGGGTGAGCAACCCCCATCTTTTCATTCCTGGGGTCTTACCAGGAACCGGGATAGCGGGGTCTGGGATAGGGGGACGGGGAGCAGAGTGTGACGAAATGCTGCTCCGCTCCCTTATATGTTTCACAGAAAAGCTTTAGAATATAAATTGCACACATGCATATGGTAGATGTAGCAGTCCTCTAGTTCTTCTGCAATGAGGGATTGTCTTAATTTAAATGTGCTCCTTGAGAACCGTAAACTCAACACACCTAACACAGAACATTTAGGCCCTGTGGCTTGAGCGGTGCCTTGTGTGATCTGGGCTGAGATTAACAGATTTTTACCTATCTATCCATCCATCTATACATATATACATACACACACATATATATATATATGGATTATTTTTAGTTACTTTAGAATTCAGAGACTATGTAGTGCCAAAGGGAATGTATTTGGAAGTAAACTACGTTTTCAGCAGATAACCGGAGGTTACGTTAGAGAATGAACTGGAAATATAATCCAATCCACAACTGAAAGCCTCTTTCAGGTATTCACCGAGGGATTTCCAGAATTCCTGTGTAATACGTGATCTCATATGGAAGTCTTAAAAGATTGTGTTTCCTTTCTTGATTGTTCCTTCCTGGGCTTTTATTCATCTATGCTGTGAATAATTGGAAAAAGCAGAATTACGAACACAATGTTGTTTCTTCTTTGTGTTTGTTTCTTGTTTTGTTTTGTTTTGACTTCATTCCGGAGACTGGCAGCTTCACCTTTTTATTTAAGCCATCCTTCAGAGCAGGAAAACAGTATCATATTTTCCCATGTTCCTGCCTCCTGGGCTCATGAAAGCAGCACAGACTTTTGTGTGAGCCAGACCTCCTTATGAGCAGCAATCGTACACACCGTTGTGCAATTTCCTTGCGATAACCAGTTTATTGGATTTCTGCATCCACTGCCTCCAACTGAAGGGAGCATTTAAAACGAAGCAACAACCATGCTGGCCTGTGTGGGCAGCCCGGGTTTCTCTGTGCTATTGCTCTATTCCCCTTAGGCCGTTCTAAAGCGATTGTTGGGAGTCATTCACTCTGTCTCAAGTATGTTGAAATGATATGAAAATCTGGCTATGTTAAAATTAATATATTACAGATGTGAAGGTAAATACGAAATAGCCGTTCCAAAGTACTGCACTGTCAGATCACTGAGAGGTAACTTATGAATAACCTTGCACTAAAACCTCAAAACCATACAGTTAAATTAGCTTTTCCCAATTAAGAACTTAAAGTCTGTGTCTAATTTCATTAGCCTGGAATATGATTTTTTTTTCCCAAGTTCATTGATTTTCTCAGCACCTCTTCAGTCATCCTCAGTCACTGCTCTGTGCACGTATGTTTAAAATACATATATATACGTGTGTGTGTGTGTGTATATGTGTGTATTTGCCACTCAATTGAAGGAGACCATTCCTACCACAACCAGAGTAAAATGACTATCAGGAAGAAACAAAATATAGGACCCTTTAATAACATGTGCCCTGTGTTTATGTCGATTCCCTTCTCTGTTTGTATGGTTTTTAGGGGGAACTGGAGCGTCAGCTTCTTCAGGCAAATCCCATTCTGGAATCCTTTGGGAATGCAAAGACAGTGAAAAACGACAACTCCTCCCGTTTTGTGAGTTACTTCTTTTCTCTTCAGAGCCTATAGATCCGCATTGATGTTTATTGAAAAATGCCATGTTTTTAACCTGGCTGGTATTGGAAACCTGCTTTGTTCCTTTCCCTCCATGAATTCAAGTTCTCTTACAGACTTTATGCATTATGGTGTAGTCACTGAAGATGGGCCCTAAGTGGCTTTTGGCAAAGCTCACTTTAATTTTGTCTGGTCTCTGACTTCATCCATCCTTGAATTAATAGCAGCATTTGGAGTATAACATACATAACTCTGCCACAAAGCCAAACTGGCTTGCATGCACAAATTACCGGGGAGCTCTGAGAAATAGATGCCTAGGGCATCTATATGGGGTGTTGTTAAACATGTAGCCTTTCTATCAATAGTTATGACTTTATGAATTGGTTTGGAGAGAACATCCTTAAAAAAATAAAAGCACAGAACTTATAGATAAAATCCTCTCTAAATTTGGATGATCTTCTGTCTGTCAGTTTTACTCGTGGAAAGCCCATATGAGTTTCTAAAGGTGTTGAAAACTCACATAATTGATTCATGCTTCTGTTGGGTAGATGCCTCCTGTTTCACATACTTTTACAGTAGTTAAATAGGTGCTTTTTCGAAGTGTGTTAAGACCAGTGGTGGAGTTCTGGGTTAATACCCCTTTACCACTTATTAAAATTTCCTTTAAGAAAAAGCTACCTCTCATTTCAGGGAAAAGATGTTTTAAACCTATACAGGAGTTGGTAAATCTTTCCCTGTTAAAAACCCAATCAGACAAATGTAAACTAAATTTACAGGAGGAATGAAATATTTTTGGCTGCCTTGACATTTCAGGAATTGCTTGAACTTACGTGGATGAACTTAGTTCAGACAGTGAGGACTCTGGAAAGCTGTACAGCTAAATCCTTTAGATAGTCCCTATCAATCAGGCAAGGAAGGCACTGTAGAAATGCAAGCCTAATTTTATAGCCTTATTATTTACAATCATGATTGATGCTTATGTACACTGGGTATAGGATTTATAATGTCAACAGGTTGCACTGTCCAGTAATTCTGCTTTGCTCCATCCCTTGAATCCATCTAAGACTGCACTAATTTAATGAAGATACTTTTTTTTTTTCCGAAAGATGTTAGCATCTGTTCTGCGTTATGTTGAAGTCTGCATTGCCATCGTGAGCATAATCAGTCAGATGTCTCCAGCTCTATTTTTATAAAGGAGTATATATAATGCACTCCAGATGGTGTCGTCTTTATTAAAGGAGAAAAAAGAAAAAAAAGTAAAAAAGACTTTAATAACAAGCATTTTAAAATCTGACTTTAAAAAATCCTCCCACAAATTCAGAAGTGCTGTTACTAGGCACACGCAGCCCTGACAGTCTTTGCTGCGCAGCTTGAAGGGACCAACCTCTTCCCTACTTGCTAATCCTACTGCATCATGCTGTAAGAAGGCTAATGTTAACTCTTTTTTCCTGCAAAATGCAGTGCTCTTTTTTATATTTCAGGAAATAAAGATTGTTTAGTTTGCAGCAGATAGAGAAGAGGTCTTTGGAGGTTCATAATCCAAAGCTAACTGCCGCTTTCCTTCCTGCGGAGCTTTACAAGAGCCGTGTATTCAGCACAATAACTGCAGTGTAAACAAATGTCTGTTGTTAAAAGCAGACTGTTTATCTGTGATAATATAAAGATTTGTAGGAAGATTGACGAGTGCTAGCTAAAAGGATAAATTAATGCTCTACTTTTAAGAAGATGAACCAGTTAAGTGGCTTCTCTAGTGTAGACTTCAAGGGTGAAAGGTCTCATCTGATGTATTTGCCTCTTCAATGACTGCATTTCCTCTCAACTTCATTCAAGGAATTGGTAACTTGATAGCAGAAATTAAGTAATTTTTAAGGACAAAACAAAGTAAAGTGGTTCTCAAATGTTAGAAAAAGCCACTGAGAAGCCCGTACATAATGCTTCAGTTTTCGGATGCTGACCGTGGCAACTTCAAGCCGTGGCCTAAGAGACGGTTCTGTGTTCCCCATTCCGTGTAGGGAAATCTGTCATACGCCGTCCTTGATTCCCTAGTGTGGACACGTGCATCATGTGTCCATTCTGTTGACTGAGCGTTAAAAAAAAAGTCAGCTTGTGCTTTCTATCAGTAACAAAATTGTGGCGTTTGAGGGAATTGTTAAAGAACAAAAAAATACAGAGCTTTGTTACAAAATGAGCTTAGAGAATTCTGGGTCTTCCTACTATCTTGAGTGCAAGGCTCCTGACAATTAATGTGAAGAGAAGCCCTGTTTCTCGTGGTGCTGGTGGCTTTCCAAGCAAACTGCAGATAAAGCAATGCTGAACCACTGAAGCCGATATAAAAAATCCCACCAGTATTCTTAAAACTCAGATAAATAATTGTAGGGGTTGAGTACGTAAAATTGCAATCTCAGAGCAGTTGTTTTGCTCTGAGTCAAAGTCCAGGTGAACTTGGTAGGTTATGCCTTTCTGTAGATTCAATGGTAAAGCTTGGTAAGTCTTGTGCACGTGAGCCTTTCTTTGAATTAAGACCCACATTTTATCAGGGAAGCTGGGCAGAAGGGCAGGATTTGGTAGAAAGAAGTCAGAATGGCTCAAAGGAATGCAGGAACCTCCTTAGGTAGCATGAGAGTACGGTCCAAAGACTTTTGCTAGATCCAACCCACATTAGAACACATATACCCTACCTGTTCATAGACGAGAATATTTGATATGGAGATTAGAACAGTCCTTGAGCTGAATGGATTTGCCAAACAGGAATTTATTTTAATGGAGTAATAGCTCTAAGCTGCCAGATGTGAGAGGATGTGAGACAGATGTGAGAGGATTTGGATAGGGGCTGCAAGAACAGCTTTGGGATGACCTCCACGAAACACGTTAGCAGGTGCCTTGTGCAGTTTCCATCAAAACAAGTATTTAAGTAGGTGTTGGCAAATTGCTATGAAACTTCCTAATCCCCCAAACCTGCTCCTATGTAGACAGGGAAGTGGAGAAACTGGAAGCAGTGAAAGCAGAGGTCTCTGCGCAGCCACTGCTTATTCCCACTGGCTCCTTTGGACATTTGCATCTGCTGGAAACACCTCTTTTTATTATTTATTTTTTATTTATTTTTATTTTTTACCAAATACTGTAAAAAAAAAGACCATGCAAATAGCAGCCATGCTGATTTTGGAAGTGCAAAAAGCAGCAGGTGGGTCTAGGCACACTGACATTCAGGATTTCTGCAGATAAAGCAGGTGTGCTGATGCCTAAAGATACTGTTACTTTATAGAAACATGTATATTAAAAATCTCAGCATTTCTGTGCTCTTATTCAGCCTTACAGAGCGCTTTGTTTCTCTTTTAGGAAAAAAATAATCTTTCATAGAGCTGGATTATAGATATACCTCAAATAAGGTTTTTTTTGAACTTTGCAAACTGCAGAATAGCATGTTCAATACTGTATTTGAATGTGAAATGTGCAGGCAGCGCTGTTCTCGCTTGGAGAGTTTGATCTTAATCAAAAAAAATTAATGCAAAAAAAATCTCTTTTCTTTGCAGGGCAAGTTTATTAGGATTAACTTCGATGTTACTGGTTACATTGTTGGGGCCAACATAGAGACGTGTATCCTACTTAAGCAGTGCAACCTCCGTGTAAAGCAAGTTGGCTAATTTTCTTCTTGACCCTTGAATTCATTGAAAAATGAATGTATTTTTTAGATTTCTTTAACAACATCTACCTCTTCCATTCCTGCAATCAAATACCACAAAGTCGGCGTGCTGCTTCACGCTTAGAAGTCGGATATCACCAAGCTTGGCACTCCAAAATCGCCTAAATTTGCTGACTAGCCTTGAAAGCGGGGTTCTCTGGAGAAACCACTGAAAGTCAATTTGCTCTCTGAAAATTTCTTTGCAAAAGGCACTTTTCTATTCAGAAGAATTCTGTGGATTAACACACTCAGTGTTAATTGCTAATAAATCTCTTGTCGCCGAAACCTACTTCAAGTTTAGCTTTAAGGCCTGCTTTTATTTAGAGTTGCTTATGAACAGGAAAAAAACACACATAAACCAAAACCTGCTTATACTGAAAGCCTTTCTCTAAAGTTACCTTATTATACTAGAAATACAGTGCATGTGTGCATATATATGTATATATACAGACATGTGTGTGTATATATATATATATATATATATGTGCCTATACATATGCTTAATTTCTAGTCTTTTTACCTTGTGTTGCGGGTGTGTAACAGTAGGATGGTCATAATAAATTTTTGAAATCCAGAAGTTTTGGTGAACAAAATATCTTGTGAGTAGTAATCACAAACCACTGGCAGTGTAATTAACCTTTCAGTCTGTGCCTGTGTTTTAAACTGCCTAATTAATTTTAACTGCAGTGCATATTTAGGACTGTCACAAAGAAAAATCCTGAAAGGCTGCAAAAGACCTGTGTTTGTTCAAAATATGTTATAATATTAAAACTTTTTTATTAAACATGAAGTGTAGTAATGCATGTAATTTCATAGCTCATACAATGTCATAGAAGACAAAATCTTGTTGCAACTATTAAAGTGTCTCTGATCCTTAAGTAATGATATAGCTTGATTTGGCCCACAGTGTTGTTATATATTTTGTTCATTTAAAAAAAAAAGTGTAAAATCCTTGATGAGATATAATCAGACTTGTTGGAGAAGTCTCGTGCCGTTCGTCAGGCTAAAGATGAACGGACATTTCATATCTTCTATCAACTGCTAGCTGGAGCAGGAGAACACCTGAAGTGTAAGTTGCTTCTTTTGCAAAACTGCTGTTTTGCATCCAGGATTTGCTCATTTTGGTGCCAACACCCTGCAATTTGAACTGTTCTTTGCTCTTGCAATAGTTAAGTTTTGAAAGGGGAATAGAAAGCCAGATCTTCTATATTGTATCAAGTGGGTTGTCAAGCAAATGTTGTGTTTTGAGCAAATAGCTTCTACGTGGCCAGGTCCAACCTGGGCAGCCTGTCTTGTGCTCTGGCTCTGAGAAACGGTGCATTGAAGCTGCTGGACTCTGGGTTGATCAGCAACAAAGGAGCTACAGCCAGACTCGTTCTGCACCATGCCCTCAAACTGGGTAGAATAACAGCCCATTTGCCATAAAATAATGAAATCCTGAGGTTTCCTTCAGCCTAGAAGTACTGCATTGGTTATCCTCCCCCCTTTTCCCTCGTTACTCCTGTTACATTGTGATAAGTGCAACTATTTGAAGATACAGACATCTGAGAAATGTTTCTGTGCTTTTGCCTCCAACATTAGATTAAGTCTGCGTCCAGCATCCTTGATGTGGCTGTCACCAATAGCCAACTGTCTTCTGCCTGTTACTTTTCAATCTAGATAGTTGTTTGGCCAACCCAGATAGGATTTGAGTTTAGGTTAGATCAGAGTCAGGTCCTGTTCTTTTTGCATGAAAGAGCTAATGTAGGATGCTACAGATAGGGATTCTGTGAGCACAGCTTTAACTTTTAAGGTATGCTCATATCTCCAGCATTTCAGAAGAATAAATTACTAAGCTGCTATAATATCTTCTAGCCTGTTTATTGCAGTAACTGATTTAGCAAACTGTAGTTTGCTTGCTTAGTGAAAACCAAATTCAGTTGTGTGTGAACAGTATTTTTTTAGCTTTTTTTCCCCCTTCTCTCCCCCTCAACACAGCTGACTTGCTGCTTGAAGGATTTAACAATTACAGATTTTTATCTAATGGCTATATCCCCATTCCGGGGCAGCAAGACAAGGACAACTTTCAGGAGACTATGGAGGCCATGCATATCATGGGGTTTTCGCACGAGGAGATCTTGTGTAAGTTATGAAGCTTTCTGGATTTCTAAGTGTTCTTCCTTGTCTCTTGGGCAACCACACACACTTGCTAATCTAATGTCACCAAATTTAATATTTTGATGTCTTGTCAGCCTGCAGAAAACACTGGTTTTAGATTAAGACAAGGCTAATAAAGCCATTTGCTTAAAAAGCACAGTATAAACTTTATTTCCTTTGTGAATTCATGCTTAAGATGTGGAATGAAAGTCATTATAGCATTTATTCATTTATTTTAAACACAGCCATGCTGAAAGTCGTGTCTTCAGTGCTACAATTTGGAAATATTTCCTTTAAGAAGGAGAGAAATACTGATCAAGCTTCCATGCCAGAAAATACTGGTAAGTTGATCGCATTTGCATGACTTACTATAACTTGCATGGTAGTTTTTTCCTATTGTTTTAGTACGTATCTTTGAAAGTATGGACCAGTCTTCTAAGCTTCCTTGGTAAAGTTTTGTGCCAAAAAAGGCCATGATTGTGACAGTAAGAGCCAACAGGCAATTATTTAAACTCTCTTGTCTTCCGTTCTCTCAACGCAGACAGAAATTAAATAGCTATCACTAGAATTTATGCTGTTTGCATTGCTTCTAAACTTTAAACAAGTATTTCAGCTGAAGTCTTGCTTACTGCTTATCTGCAAAGACTTAAGTACCAGGAAAGTGTGCATGCTTCCATACATTTGTTTGCTTTGGTTCTTGACAGCAGTTTTCTTGCCAAAGATAAGAACTCTGAAGCCAAGCACAACTTCCATAGTGAAATAACTGAACACAAGCATGCAGCATTTAGAAAAATCTGATTTCTGAAGCAGTGGCAGTGTGACCAAGGCTTAGTTTGTCAGTTAATGCCTTAAAGTGACATCAGCTTTTGGATAAGTTTGTTCCTTTGCAAAGAATACGGTCCTTGACGTAGTTTTCAGATTTTCAGTTTAGTTCTCTGGTTCCAGATTTTAAACACTGTCTTGGAAAATAAGGTTATAAAATTGATTTCAGTGCAAAGGCCTGTAAGAGTTGCCATGCACAGGACCTGCTGCACACATGCCACTTAAATTTTATCTCTGTGCCCTGTTTCATGCTTACGTCCTTGGTACTCACAACTTCCATGCATGTGACTAGTAATAACCGCTTAATGCTGTGGGTTTTACACATGCCAGTGTGTAAGTTTATACTCAAAGCACAGAAGTGCTCCTGTAGTTAGCTAAAATGAAATCAGCGCAGAGTTTGGGAGGTTGCCCCAGTTTCTCTGAGGAAGTCGTGATCTGATTCGTGAGCCCTCCTAAGGACGGTATGGCCAGAGTGTCTCGGACAGGAGCAGCAAGTGAGTGTTTTTGATAGCAGTGCGGGTGCAGCTGCGTGTTGACGCCGGGATCTGCTCCTCAAGGCCGATTTGTGAAAGCAGCATCGTGCCTTTCTGCAGCAGACGAGCGAGCTGCGGAGCTGGCAGGAGTTAACCCGCGCGCGAGCTCCGGTGCGGAGGGCTTCCCGCTAAAGGGCAGCGCTTACCCACTCCTAAAAATATCTTTGGCGTCACTCTCCTTTTTAGAAATCTGCAGTCATGAATGCCTTACCTATCGGAAAAAGTCTTAGGAAAAGGGATTGATGCAGGAAGAATGTGTAAAGATAGCATGCGTAATAGGTTATTTTAAATAACTGACACAAAACTGGCACTAAAAGAATGTGAGCGACTGTTTGTGGTGCTATTCTAAACAAAATATTAGAAATGGAAGGTTTAAATCATTTAAATAGTGTTTTGATATATTCTCTAATGGGAAGGTCTGTAATATTACAGTGGTATAGCTGCCTGATTAAAACACAGGTTATTGGGCCACTTGATAGTATCAAGTATCACTTGATAGGTGACCTGTGATGTGTTCATGCATCATCATACTTTTTACTTATTTTTCTGGAAGGGTTAAAAATGCACATGCTGTGTCAAAGTGACAAAATGAACGCTCGTGGCTCGTGGGCCTCTGTGTGACCTCCCCGTGGTTTATGAAATCTGGTGCTTTCCCCACTTGAAGTAAATTGAGCAGTGCATTTCTGTAAACGTTTGCGCAAACCTTGGAGGAGCTACTGCCTGCATGATGGAGCAGGGCTGTTGTCCACCAAACAGAAGTGCCTTTCCCTGGCACGTGCCTTTGTTTGCAGCTTGTTTTCCCCGCTGTTGCTAGTTGCTGGGAAGAGGTGAGGGCTTAAGAGCTTGTGTTTTATTCCGTTATTTCCAGTTGCACAGAAGCTCTGCCATCTGCTGGGAATGAACGTGATGGAGTTCACCCGTGCCATCCTGACCCCGCGCATCAAAGTTGGCCGAGACTACGTTCAGAAAGCCCAGACCAAAGAACAAGTAAGCTCTGGGGCCTAGTAGAGTTTCACTTCATCTAGCTTTTAATAGAGAGTTGAGATTAAATAGGTACTGCCACCAACTTTGTTTAAACTCACTGTCCTTAGTAACTGTTGTTACCTGGTGAAAATCAGTAATTCACTAGAAGAAACCTTTCCTTTTCCTTGACCTGTGGCTGCTGTCTTTCAATGCAGCTTGTACATATCATATGTTCAGAGAGCTTTTATCTTTATCCAACGGTTTCAAAACGTGTTTTCATAACATTAATCAAACTGTATACTTTTTCTACTGCTTGCTTTTATTCCTGCCTTAATCTTCTTCTGTTGCTTAGTTATATTTGATAGCATCCATGTCTGAGTTCTTTTGATGACTTCTCCAGAAAAAATAAACTTTATGGGTTTGATTTAATTTTTTTTCAGGCAGACTTTGCAGTGGAAGCCTTGGCAAAGGCCACCTACGAACGCCTCTTCCGCTGGCTTGTTCACCGGATTAATAAAGCTTTGGACAGGACCAAACGACAGGGAGCATCTTTCATTGGGATTCTGGATATTGCTGGATTTGAAATCTTTGAGGTATTTTAAAAGATTGATTAGATTTTTTTTTCTCTCTCTCTCCCTATTATTGTGCATTCAGCCCTAGCTGTTGGTCTAGGACCAACAAAATGCAGAAATGTTTCAAGGCTGCAGGAGGGTATCGTGCTCTGTAGCACATGAACACTTCTAATACGCTAAGCTGTAGTAACAAATACTATAATCTAAGCCTTTTTATTGGTTCTGCAACATTGAGTTTTTTTGCTATTATACATTAGTTTACCACATATAGCAGGATATGTAAGAGATTGAGTCATGTATTTGCCAGTTTTCTTTAAAATACATTTTGCAGTATTTCAGGGATTTGCCTTGTAAAGTCAGATTTTTTTTCTTCCAAATATGTCATCGATTCCATCATGATTCATGCTTAGTAATGTTATTTTGCAGTTGAACTCCTTTGAGCAACTCTGCATTAATTATACCAATGAGAAGCTTCAGCAGTTATTCAACCACACAATGTTTATCCTGGAGCAAGAGGAGTACCAGCGAGAGGGGATAGAGTGGAACTTCATTGATTTTGGACTGGATCTGCAGCCTTGCATTGACTTAATAGAAAGACCTGTAAGTTTATGAGTTCATAAGGCTCAGAGATTTGATGTATCCGTTTGTCTTTTACTGCTTGCAAATATCAGGACTGTGCTCAGAATTGTGTCTTCTGGCTGTGCTGCAAGAAGTCGCAGCCCAAGTCACAAATCTAAAATACCATATATTAGAAAAAGTATTTATGCTTAATGGATTTTATGTCCTCATATTAGTGTATAGGAATGCTGAGCAAAAGATGTTAAGCTGCTATTCTTATACTTTTTTTCACCCATAACTGATGAAGTCTTTATCCTGTCACTTTCATATTAACCCATAGTATGACATTGCAGGAGCTTTAGTGAGAAAGTCAGAGAAAGGTTTCCAAGAGTTGGAGTAAAACTGCAGCAAATTCTCCAGTAAATTCTCCTTCGAAGATGAAATCTCCTCCAAAAAGCCTGAGGAGAGAATTGTAGATCTTTTCAGTATGCAGATATTTAGATGGATATCCTAAAGTGCATAAAATTATTGGAGCTTTTTTGAAAAGCAAATGGCATACCTTCTTAACTGGTCTGTAAATGAAATCATAAGGGCATGCAATAGCACGTAGTAGGCACACGTATCATCTCTCTTCAAACGTGTAAACTTCACATTCACAAGAAACTTTTGAAGTACAAAGCATTATAAACTATTTCTCCAGTGCTTTACTGTATACTTCAGTCTGTCTTCCCCGAGGAAAATGATCCTGTCAAACAATTGTGCTGCTGTAAAATGCAGGCGTTTGTTCCCTGCTTCATTGTAAGAATAAACAAACTTTTTAATGGAGTGTCTAAATTATATGGAGAGGGAGAGGTAGCCCATAAAACTCTGCTGACTGTTCGAGTTGAGCCTGCTAAATCTGTCTGGCTGCTTCTGCTGGATATTGGTGCAGGGCTTGGCAAGGGCAGGCTGAGCGGCTGCCTCTGTGGTAATGAGTGGCTGGGAGGGGTAATTGCCTTCAGTTTAGCCCACATTAAAGCATAATGTTCGCTACTAACGTTAGCTGAACACAGGTGAGTTGCCGTGCACGTATGTGTCACGGAAACAGGGGATAGGGAACACTGGAGCATCCCTATTCCAACCTCTGCTCAACGCAGGGCTACTGCAGCGGTATACAGAAAGTGGAAAAAAGGACAGGTCCCATGGGAGAAATACAGGAACGTAGTCAGGGAATGCAGAGATGCGACAAGGAAAGCTAAGGCACGTCTGGAAGGCAATCTGGCAAGGGACATTAAAAATAACAAAAAAAAAATCTTCAAATACATCAACAGCAAAAGGAAGATCAGGGAAAACGTGGGTCCGCTGGCGGATGGGATGGGCACCCTGGTTACAAATAACACAGAAAAAGCAGAGTTGCTGAATGCCTTCTTTGCTTCGGTGTTTGCCAAGGGCAGCCCTTTAGAGCCCCAGGCCCTAGGGACAAGAGAAGAAGCTGGTGGAGAGGAAGCCCTGCCCTGGGTAGAGGAAGACCAGGTCAGAGAGCACCTAAGGAACCTCGATACCCACAAATCCATGGGCCCTGATGGGATGCACCCCAGAGTGCTGCGTGAGCTGGCAGATGCCATAGCTAAGCCGCTCTCCATCATCTTTGAAAGATCCTGGAGAACGGGGGAGGTGCCGGAAGACTGGAAGAAGGCCAATGTCACGCCAGTCTTCAAAAAAGGCAAGAAGGAGGACCCAGCCA